AAGACTCTAATGATCCCATGGATATATCAAAGTGATCATCAGGATTGTTCTTAACCCACTGTTCAGTGTTGTGAATACGAACAGATCTTCTGCAGTTCATGATTATATCCAGTTCATTGTTGGAAATATTGGAATATTCTTTGGTAAACTCCAAAGCTAAGGTAAAAAGGTCTTTGGAAATCAATGGGTAAAAGTCCACAATATTAAATTGATGAAAGACCAGTTAAGCTTACTATTAATCCCTTTGAACCAATTGATGGCATCTGTGGTACAAGTCCACGTTAAAAGTTCAGGTTGCCGTTTAATCTGATTTTTGACTTTATCAAGGATAACATTGCTAATCCTTCCAATTTCAGTCCTGGTAGGTTTGATAATCCTTGTAGGAATTTTAGTTTCAAAATCCGGTTCATGATCTTGTTATGGTCCGGTTCCAGGTGATAATCCAACGTAGAAGCAATAAAGAAGAACTCGAACACAGGTATGGAATAACACAGATATATTACAAACAGGAATATATACAGAGAAGTAGAAGTGTTAGTATGAACAATCAGGTTTAGTAGAGAGAACAATGTAGTCTCGACGAGTATCACTATTCCAATGTCTTGCAGTAATTGTCTGAACGCGACTATGTTTCGGACTGCCTCTGACTCGACTCTTGACTCGACTTGAACTACTGACTCGACTCTTTGCCTACTCCTGAGGCGCAGTATTTATTAAGTATGGAATAGTCCATTATTATTATTATGGGTACGATCCCATAACAGATCTTTAACCAGAACGTATGATTTCTTGGTAGAATGCATACTTACTCCATTGTTTATTTTAAGCCTGTCAATTATAGTTTTACTAACAGTATCAATTTTATCAACTAAATTAATAGTGTTATTATCCACCTTCCTGTAATTTTTAGTTAATTTTTTTAATTAAAATATTATATTCTTCAGGATTAAATTTAAATACTTTGTCCAACTTATTAATGTCTTTTACAATGCAGTCTAAATGTCTCTGAAAATAAGTCTTGTTTTTATGAAAACAGATACTATTAATTATGCCTAGAAATCATTTTCAAAACCATATAAGCGCTCAAATAGGGGTGCAATTTCCAAACCGTAATAATCAATTTTATTCGAAAACTCTTGATCAAGAAGGAAGAAATGAGATTTCCATCTCACTCGTCTGATCAAATCTTTAATTTTTAAAACCAACTTTTCGAAATATTCCCGTTTGTTTGTATTGAGAATATTTTTAGAGAAATTCCAAAATTGGTTTTATCCATGTTTAAGTATAAAAAATAAACGTAATATCCGACGAAAATAAAATAAATGTAATATAAGCGAAATATCCAGGTATGAGATAAGAACAAATGAAGTATAATTTCACTGTCTGTAGCATTATGTATGTATGTATGTATGTATGTATGTATGTATGTGTGTGTGTGTGTGTGTGTGTGTGTGTGTGTGTGTGTGTGTGTGCATATATATATATGTTATGGGACCTGACCCATAATAACATAATGGACTATTCCATACGTAATAAATACTGCGCCTCAGGAGGAAGCAGGGAGTTCAGTCTGAAGTCTGGAGTGAAGTCCGCCAGAGGTCTGTCAGTCCTTCAGAGCGAGCGAGTCAGTCAGTCGAGTCAGAGACAGTCCGAAACAGAGTTGCGTTCAGACAATTACTACTAAACCTGATTGTTCGTACTAACACTTTTCTACCTCTCTGTATATATTCCTGTTTGTAATATATCTGTGTTATTCCATATCCGTGTTCGAGTTCTTCTTTATTGGTTCTACCTTGGACTATCATCGTGGTACAAGGAACCGGATCATAACAATATATATATGAAGAAATTTAGTTTTAGTTTTAAGGCGTTCTATATTTATAGGATAAAGTGGCCAGTGTCAGAGATAGAGCATATGTAAATATAAAAGTGAACATTGAAGTCAACACTCAGAGATGACAGTCTGTTTTTGCTCGACGCAATCATGTGACCTGATTATTGCGTCTAGAATGAAACTGTCGTCTCTGACTTCAACACACACACACACACACACACACATATGTGTGTGTGTGTGTGTTAAATATATATATATATATATATATATATATATATATATATATATATATATAATATTCGTTATTGTAGCGGGTGCCCACACGGATTTGAGTAAATATCTCTGTATTTTATAAATAGTAATATTAACTTCAAAAGTTTTGTTAAATCGTTTCATGGTCACGGTGGATAGACATTATTTTCATTGTTTGTAAATAAATAAGTATGCCTCCTGAAACCAGTGTAACCATTAAAATAGCGTTTATAGTAATATGAAATTGTTATCTGATTGGAAACGCTCATTAATTGCCTAAAGTATATATATATATATATATATATATATATTTATATATATATATATATATATATATATATATATATATATATATATATATATATATAAAGGATGTTCCAATAACTTGATCAGATTTTAAATGTGAATTAAGTTTAAGCGTCTAATGATTTTTAATAAATTTTCTTTCAGATTTAACAACTTAAGTCTTCGGCAAATTCAACTATGGAAAGATTAACAGTCGAACAACATGTTAAAGTTATCGAAGCCTATTACGAAAATAGACGTTCAAACAGAATTTGAATGAGGAGTTCCCAGATTACATCATCTCTCGAAACAACGAAGTCAATTGGCCTCCACGATCGTGCAACTTGACGCCTTTAGATTTTTTTCCTTTGGGATCATCTCAAAATTAAGCTCTATGCCAACAAGTCAACAACAATTCAACAGTTGAAGGATGGGATAATAAGGTATATTGGTGAAATCAAGGAGCAACTATGCAGAAACGTCATCAAAGGTTTTTGGTGGACATTTGTGCGATATTATTTTTCACACGTAATTGCCATGACTTAAATAATATGATCCAATAGAGAAATAAATAATATTTCACCAATAGCACTGATTTATTAAGTGCTGACTTTGATCCGTCTTAATGAAACACCCTTTATGTATTACAGACGCTATTTTTCGTGTAAGAAAAAGAAAGCGTACATAATAAGGAGAAAGAAAGTGAATATAGAAGTGGCAATACGTTTAACGTCGACTTCAGTCAATTTTTGATTTTTTTTCAATTGTACCCTCTTACTTCATTAAATAATAAACTGCATTCATACTTATGCTTGTTATTGCAATATTTTGTTAAAAGTTTTCGGCTCAAATAATTTATGATGCGATAAGTGGGGGGGGTCCTACGGATATTTTATAATCGTGGAACTCGCAAGTGGTTTTTTCAGTCATTAACTTTAGGATTATGATCCATCAGAAACTTAAAATAGGAAAAGCGTGGAATTTTCACGGATACTGCTAGTTGTTACTAATGTTTTAACATGGTATAATCTGGATGTATTTCACAACAACGTGCTTAAGATATCTGACCAATAGTCCCTTCAAATTTAACCAAAAATAGCCTTTTCCTAGCAAGCTGAAAGTGGATATTTCCTTCTCAGAGAACATCTGGATTTAACACTTGGCTAATTATTTCATTCTGCTAATAGAAAAACACGGTGTTTTAAAGATAAGGCAAAGGCGAATGGCAGCATCACGTGACTGATCACATGAGTGGAAAATAGGTAACCAAGAATGTAATTAAAAAAAAAAAAAACAATCCCATGCGGTACAACTCTTTTGACAAACCTGGTAAAAATATATTTTTGTTTTTCGTTTCTTTTCTTCTTATTTTTTTTTATGTGGTCGTTAAGTTATTTTTTAGGGTTGCTTCCGATAGATATCGGTTAGGAAAAATGTAAATATTTTGATGAAGTAGTATTTAATAGAGGCGACAGCAAAGAGAATCTAAAAAAGAAACCATGCTCTCGTAGTCATCACTTCTATATTTACTGTGTAAAAAATAAGTAGCTAGTCTCGTAATGGCAAAGAGAGAGGAGGGGAAGAGAGAGGAAGAAAAACAGAGAGAAAGATAAAAAGAGATAGAGAAAGATAGAGAGAGAGAGAGAAAGAGATGAAGAAAGACAAATAGTCAAAGAGAGAGAAAAAGGGAAAGAGAAATAGATAAAAAGAGAGAAAGAGAGAGAGAAAGAGGGAAAGAGAAAGAGAGAGAAAGTGAACGAGAGAAAGAAGAATACAGAGAAAGAGAAAGAAAAGGAGAGAAAGAGATAAAGAAAGAGAAATAGTCAAAGAGAGAGAAAGAGAGAGAAAGAGGGAAAGAGAAATAGATAAAAAGAGAGAAAGAGAGAGAGAAAGAGGGAAAGAGAAAGAGAGAGAAAGAGAATGAGAGAAAGAAGAAGAAAAGGAGGGAAGAGAGAGGGGAAAAGAAAAGGGAAAGAGAGAAAGGAGAAGTACGTGAGAAAAGAAAGAAAGAAAGAAAGAAAGAAAGAAAGAAAGAAAGAAAGAAAGAAAGAAAGAAAGAAAGAAAGGAAAAGAGAGGGAAAGAGAGGGAAAGAGAGAGAAGTGGGGAAAGAAAGAAAAATAAAAAAAGAGAAAGAAAGAGAGAGAGAGACAGAGAGAGATATGATAGGATATGGTACTGGATATTTCCCGGATTAGTGTCTCCTGGCAGACACCATAACTGATTCCATTTTCATGAGACCAGATGGATATTTTGATGACAGTACCCATAATTGAACTTGCGAATTTTTTCCACATATTCTTGCGTTATACCGACACACAACAGACTTTGAAACGCGCTGTTCGGCATAAAGAATATTCACTGAAATAAATAAAGAAAAAAAGATAGAGTTTTATGCTAACAGATTCTTCCATCGCACTCTTCGCTTGTGGAAATCTGTTCCGGCTTCTTGCTTCCCAAACAACTTCGATTGTCAAAAATTTAAAAGCAATGTCAATCGTTATCTTCTCTCTTCTTAATTCTTCTTCTTTTATTGTCCTCTCTCCTTAATAGTAATTTTTCTCATATTCTCTAACACATAGTAACCCCTTGCGTATTCGTAGCTTTATTGCCTTGCTTGGGGTGAAATGATTAAAACATAGATAGATAGATAGATAGATAGATAGATAGATAGATAGATAGATAGATAGATAGATATGAACATGCTTAAATAGACTGATAGATTGATATTTATGAAAAGACAGATATAGATTAATAAATAGATATATAGATAATGAACAGATTAAGATAGATATGAATACTGAGATAGATAGATAGATAGATAGATAGATAGATAGATAGATAGATTTTATCCGACATAGATAAATGGATAGATATGAACAAGCTTAGATAGATAGATAGATAGATAGATAGATAGATAGATAGATAGATAGATAGATAGATAGGTAATCTACTGAGATAGATAGATGTAAACAAACGATGTAATCTACTGAGTATTATATGAACAAAGATATCTACTAAGATAGATAGATAGATAGATAGATAGATAGATAGATAGATAGATAGATAGATAGATAGATAGATAGATAGATTTTATCCGACATAGATAAATGGATAGATATGAACAAGCTTAGATAGATAGATAGATAGATAGATAGATAGATAGATAGATAGATAGATAGATAGATGTAAATAAACGATGAAATCTACTAGGTATTATATGAACAAAGATATCTACTAGAGTAGATAGATAGATAGATAGATAGATAGATAGATAGATAGATAGATAGATAGATAGATTTTATCCGACATAGATAAATGGATAGATATGAACAAGCTTGGATAGATAGATAGATAGATAGATAGATAGATAGATAGATAGATAGATAGATAATCTACTGAGATAGATAGATGTAAATAAACGATGAAATCTACTGGGTATTATATGAACAAAGATATCTACTAGAGTAGATAGATAGATAGATAGATAGATAGATAGATTTTCAGTCCACCTCCCGTCACTTTAAGGAAGTCTTTTCCCTGATAGTCTGTATCAAATCCTTTCCGAAGAATCCTCTCTTTTCCGAGCAGACAAGGCTTTTGTAATGGCCCCATTTACAAATCACAATCCGATAGAAATAGAAAGAATTGAGATAGATAGATAGATAGATAGATAGATAGATAGATAGATAGATAGATATGGTTTGAGTGAATCGGAAGTTTAAAAAAAAATACGTTTTGATACAAAGACAAAGAATGACAGAAATGTGTGAGTATGAGGCTAAATGCTTTGAGGTAGATAATGGTCAGATTTGCAATATATATATATATATATATATATATATATATATATATATATATATATATATACCATCGCTCTGAAGAAAGGTTTGATATCTATGACGCTAAGATATCTCTAACACAACTCCCCTCGTTCTAGGTGCCGTGACCATTCATGACGTTGGCAATCATCGCCCTCTACAATTTCCTATACTTTGTATCTCTCAATAGATTTTGTGTTTTTGTTATTCTTCCTGAACCTTATTCTGCCATCCATTTACCCAAGTTCAATGCAGTTTTCCTCTGTCCTTCTTGCCTCCATTGTCTTCCGAGTATCAAATTTTCCAAGCCCTCTTTCCTCATTATGTGCCCTAGAAATTTCAACTGTCACTTCCTGATAAGTATAACTGTTTTTTTTTTTGTTGCCATTTTCTCTAAAACTTTCTCGTTGCTCACATGTTCGTTCCATGTTGTTCTCGGCATCCTTCTTTAGAACCACATCTCTTTTCCTTTAAGACTTTTCTTCATCTGTGAGGTCATTGTCCTGCATTTACTAAGAAATCCTGCATAACAGTTCAGTATTCTTTTCTCTTTTTTTAATGAAATTTTCCTGTTTCTTAATGCTTTCAGCTTTGAAAGTCATCATTGTATTTCGATGTCGTTGTTTTTGTCATCTGTTATAACACTTCCCAAATATTTAAATTGTTGTACTTGCTTGATTTTAGTATCTCCATTTTTAAATTTGCAATTTAATTTAATTTAATTCTATAATTGAATTTGAAGGTTTTAGCTTCTGTTTTTGAAACATAATTCCTGTTTAGTTATGGAACCATATTTATAAATAAGTAAATATATATATATATATATATATATATATATATATATATATATATATATATATATATATATATATATATATTAATTATCGATGACCAATACAGTGTATCAATTTAACTGCCCATTATAAGACAGCGTTTCTTTACAGAAATCAATTTGCTGGATCGGTCACACCACTACCTGAATGGGAAGACGCCTCACGTATCACTTATCAAATCAAAGTGCCACCCACAATCTACATGAACCCATAAGGAAAATTCTGGTTGATAATACGATCATCCTTCATAAATCCCGTAAAAGATTTCGCTGTGAGAGTCGCACTCTATATAAAACATCTTGGACTCAATATTAACCTCACTTCATTTAACAACGGAAATGATATGCTAAAGGGTTTTGGTTTTTTTTAATAGAAAGACGCCAGTTTGAATTCCAGCCACGTTCCTTTCACGGGGCTCAGAATAAATGCTGCTATCATAAAACTGGCATCACACATGTACGTTTAAAAGACACCATGAAAAGAAATTAACGATAATTAACAACAATCTCCTTGAAAATGTCTAGTGTCCGAAAGTGCTTGGGACAATACACACCTTTACCCCCACCAAAGGGAAAAAATAAAGAATACTAGCAAAACTGAATACAAAATTTTCTTTGTCTGTCATATTCAACGAAATATGCTTTAAAGAAAGGTTGCCACACACACACACACACACACATATATATATATATATAAAAGAAATATAGTCTTAAGGTGTGCTATATTTATGGGATAAAGTGCTCGATATCAGAGATAGAGCGTGTGTAAATATAAAAGTGAACATAGAAGTCAACACTTAGAGGCGACAGTCTGTTTCATGCTATATGCAATCGTCAGGCCACATATGCTGTTATTAACATATGTGGCCTGACGATAAGTGTTGACTTCTATGTCTACTTTTATATATATATATATATTAAGAAATGGACAAAGTCCGACAATTTATTTTATTAAAGACATTTTTTGTTTAACGTTCTTTTTTATAGATACAAGTATTTAAGTAAACATTCAGGCCGGTAAATGTTATTTAATACTGTTTATTATAAACATAGCATTTACTTAAATACTTGTATCTATAAAAAAAAAAAAAAAAGAACGTTAAACATAAAAATGTCTTTAATAAAATATATATAAATATATATATATATATATATTGACGTATATTTGGGCAACAACCTTTCTTTTAAATATCTTTCATTAAATACGGCACACAAGAAAGATTTAATGATTTTTTTATTTAGTTTTTCCAGCATCTTTACGTTGTCCGTTTTATAAGAATAATGTGAGTACTGAAATTTTCCATAATTTTCATTGTCCCAAGCACTTTCAGCCACTTCTTTAGCCATTTTCAAGGGGATTCTGTTTTTGGTCTTGTTAGGTTTTCCTCATGTTTTGGCTGTTTAAGTTGTATTTTACTTTTGTGTTGTTTTGAATAGGAGCGTTTATTCTGAGCCTTCGCTGGTTGGGCGTGGCAGGAATTCGCGTGAGCAAACTTTAGCAATCCATTTCTACAGTTAAATAATGCGAGAGAGATGTTTATATATATATATATATATATATATATATATATATATATATATATATATATATATATATAACGAGATATGGATAGTAATGTTTTACATAAATACGAATGGAGTATTGATTTTTTTAGACAGATTTGAGTAAGAAAGAGAGAGAGAGAGGGAAATGGATAGAGACAGGCTGATAGATATAACAATTACGTTAGCATTAAAAAAAAACACATACATTATACATGTTTGCTACTTTACTCTCGGGTGAAAATCTCAAGATGGCACATACAGACACAGACTGATATATAAGTTAAATGCAGAAAAAAATTATGCTGCCAAGTCTTGGCGCGTCGATTTTGTCGGCTGAGTAATCCATAGTGCATAGCACAACTAAAATGGCGTTGGTAATCGCTTGATATATAATCAAATCGAATAGGTGCAGATGTAAAATAAGTCTTCTCACAATAAACAAAGAAAAGGCTATTAAACTGACAGCAGTATATTATAGTCAGTTGTATCGATCAGCATAATTTTGTTGCTTGAAATGTGTGTAGATCAGACGAAACGTTGCAAGCCACTCGCTACTCTATCGCTATTTCCAGAGAAAGTATTCAAACGAACGATTGTATATTCTTTAGTTCCACCAATTCTAATCTTCACGACTAAGACCCAACATTCTAAGTACATTGTAGCGAACTACCTTCATTCGACTTTGTATTCCATTGGCGAGTTTTAAGTCCAACTCGAACATGTTTCATCCTACGAACCACTAATTTGTGGTATCAACCACCAAGTTGGTGTTTCCTCGTTCACTAGAATATTAACAGGTTTAAGTCTAGATTCAATCATTATTTTCCTAACATATCCTTCTAATCTGTACCTCTTACCTCCTACTCTGTAACACTCCAGACTCCTATTTTCTACTGCCCTCGATCTCCGCGACCAGATGAGAACCAAAGCCGATTGGGGGCCCCAGGCAGTGTTTTGTCACCTTCGCTATTTTATTCTTTTGTCAAAATCCGTTACCTTTTTTTGCCCATGCTAAGTCTCGAGAAAATCCCATATAAAATTCCCTATTTTTTATCCATAATGTTAAAGGTGTGGAAATTATTCAATTTTTAAACAATAAAATCTCAAATTCAGGTCAAAAATTGCAGCAAAACATTGTTGACTCATTCAAGATGAATGATCTTTTATGACACGCCTCTAATTTGTACTTAAATACATTGTATTTATTTGGGGAATCGGAGAGCCGAGTTCGAATTCCAGTCAAACCCATTACATTCACTTACGTGCTAATACCCCTGGGAAACGTATGAATCCTCTTCTTCTCCCCCGCCAATTCCCAGCTATGGGTAAATAGCAGGACAGATCTTGGATGCCAACTGCTCTACTGCAGAAAGAAATGGCAACCTACTGCACGAAAAAAATCAGCCTCGTTATGATTCGAAAGATAACTGATCGCCTAAGCGTGTTTCACGCATGGTACATAACTGACTGATATTCACTTACGTGCTAATACCCTTGGGAAAGGTATGAATCCTCTTTTTCTCCCTCCACCTATGGGTTCTATAGCCTTGGATGACAACTGGTCTACCGGAGAAAAAATGGCGCTGCTGGAAAACATCTGCCTCGAAAAATACATGTGTATCATGTATGGCACATAACTGTATTTATTTTCAATTTTTCTAGTTGATTCGTTAGTCGATTTGTTTAATGGCATATCAACTCCTTATGGGTCACATAATGCTGAAATTTAATTTCCTTTCTCGATTTGAAGTCATAAAAATATGTTATTCTGCTTTCACAGTTGAAAACATGGCGGATTATACTCAGCTTTTGTGCATATATAAGTTTGTATGGCGGTGCTAAGTGTGTTTTATGTTGTAGCTGAAGTTATATTTTGGAATATAGTTTAAGAAATTGTAGGATATTATAGATTAATGTCGTGAAAGAATTCTTTTTGGTTGTTTGGTTGATTGGTTTTTGTGAGGTCTCACTTCATTTAATTGTTATACAGGATGTCACTCATGACTGAGAGGCAAACACGAATTTCCAGCAGAGATGGTTATATTCTAAATAGTGAAATAGTCTAATCTGTTTTTTGCTTACAACTCATTCTGGTCTGTTTATTTCTAAACATCAAGTTTTGTTTCAATTGTTATAGTTTTCGAATAAATAATTATATATATATATATATATATATATATATATATATATATATATATATATATATATATATAGTTAAGTTATGAAGAACTTGGTAATCCGTATGGGTAATCCCATGGAGGATGAAATCCTGAGAGCTCAATGTAAATCCATAGCTAATATCTAAAAGAAAACAGACCACTTTAAGGTACTATTATAATAATTTATTTCACCAGAGTCCTTTTTAGGACGTTGATCATCAGATAGCACTTTTTGGAAGTGCTATCTGATGATCCGTCTGTTTTTTCCTTTAAATTTATATATATATATATATATATATATATATATATATATATATATATTTAAATAGGTTAGAAACGGTACAAAAGCGTATTAAGGCATTAAAAACTAGAAATTTGTATTGCAGGCCATGATAAGTTTAAAATAAAACACACACAGTCGACCGGTTTCGTCCCTCTCTCGTCAAACTGTTAACGGGGAATTTAGATTATGAGGAAAAAAAGAAAAAAAGTCTGTCATGGGTGACATGAATGAATGGACAGGAAGGAAGGAAAGATTTATACCAACAAGCCTAGAAGCGCAGAACAGCAAGTCCAAGCAAACAATCTCTTTGTTTGCAAAGAGAAGGCTGCTTGGACCTGATGTAAAGCGATTCCAACACCTTGAGATGGAAAAGTTAACTTTAAGACGGAAAACCAGTTCACACTGAAATCCATCGCACAAGTTGGAAATGGAAGACCCATAAGTGTTACGAATGGTATCGCCCAAAGAAAATTTTTTTGTTTAGTATTATCGCAGGTACGTGTTGTTTAATTCTCGTCCAACCGCTGTGTCGTTCTACCTAATCCAAACTCGAAATAGTAAATAACAGAGTTAATATGGGGGGGTAAACATCTTTACACATAGATGGAAGTACAGACCTAGTTTGAAAAACAACAAACGTTCGCTGCAAAATAACACTCAATGAACTACATGTCAATACGCTTGGCGAAGGATTCACTTCCTACCCAACCACGGTAAACGAAGATAGACCGGACATTTACCAACTGAAGCAGGTTTGATTTTGTTGAACCTAGCGGTCTCATCTCGAATAACCGATTTGTGTTCAACGGATAACCATTTTCTTTTTTAAACAACTTTTCATTTTATCCGAACAGATCATTAACGCCCTTGTCAGGGTCTAATCAAATTAATTTTTGTTGTTTAGGACAAAAGGAGTCCCAACAGGTATATAGTCCTGTAAAAGTAGACTTCCTGTATAATAAACAAGAAGGAGTTCTTTGAACAAGAACATCTAAAAAGGGCAATGAACCATTTCCTTATCTACTGTAAATTTAAGGGCAGGATGAACACCATTGAGTAGGGAAAAATTTCCACTTCCGATTCATGGCTGAACACACAAAAAGTGTCATCAACATACCGAAAGTAAACCTTCCGGGCAGAACTTAACAAAAGGCTTTCTTCAAAAAACCCACAAAAATATTTTGCAAAAACAGGACCCAAAGGGGAACCCATCGCTACACCATCGATCTGACGATACATGATATTTTCGAAACTAAATCGACAAACATAGTGGCAAATTTCATGAGTTCAACGAACACTTCTTCAGGTTATTCGGAGGAGTAAATCACTGCGATATAACATATCGCTGCAAATATCAATAGTCTCCGATAAAGGAACACAAGTGAAGAGGCTACAGATGTCAAAGGAACACATAAATCCATCAGTGGCATCACAATTCCGAATGAATTTGGAAAAGAAAATTTTTAATACCGGAGGAACTGTAATGCTGCAACACTGGTTTTTTTTATAAATTTTCGACTTTATGCTGTGAAGACCCAATCATCGATAATATGGGTCTCAACGGGACACCCTCCTTAGACGAATCTTAGGTAATCCATATAGACGGGGACGAATTCTCAAAATTTTAAAAAGAACACCAGTTTTTACCCATTTGACAAGACGTTTCTGAAATCGAATTTCAGAAATCAATGTAGAATCATGAGTGTCAATGGAACCAAGACGTTGAAACTTGGAAGGGTCATTCAATATAGTTAACATTTTGTTAATGTAGTCATGGCGGTCCATGAGGGACAACACCAGATCCCTTTATCCGGTTTAGTAATAACCAAAGAATGGTTATCCTATATCTAATAACCTTATATATATTCTCCATTTCGATTTCCATATATATATATATGTATGTATTATTTATTTTAGGATATGAAAGCATGTCAAAACTCGTTACATAATGGCAATTATGTTTCAACACCATAAATGTGTCTCTGGTGAGTGAAAGATTAATTTAATTTCAAAAAGCAGAATACTTTGAAAAATAGGCTTGTGAGCTTTGCCGTGACTAACCAATCGAATGTGAACTACGCTAAATTTAATTCAACCGAAAAAATTTTTAAAAAATTTAATATAGGTCATGCCATGAAGTTGTTTACATGTTGAGCACTCTTTGTTACTGTGCAGGTGTCATTTTCTTTGTTATTTTTCTTTTTTCATTTTATTTTATCGTTTTTTTTTCTCTTTTTGTTGTTATTGTTGTTGCTTATTGATTGTTAGTTTTTCTTTTTATTATGTTTCAATTTGGTCACCTGCCAGGCTTCCTGTTGGTAAAACTCAACTCGTACTTTGGGTTGTTGTGGTATATTTTTCTAAAGAATTAATTTACCATATTTATTTTAGACTGACATATTTATATTTCATCAATGTTTATTTTTGCCGGAGGGTACATTTTTTTTTTTTTAATAAATTTTCTCTAGTGTGTAAGCCAATAGACGAAAGAAATACTGTTTAAAATAAAACTATCTTTAAATACAAACGCGGGAATCAAGTAAAATTAACTTTGAACTAATATATATATATATATATATATAATGTGTATATATATATATATATATACATTATATATATATATATATATATATAATATTCCAAATATATATATATATGTGTGTGTGTGTGTGTGTGTGTGTGTGTGTGTGTGTGTGTGTGAAATATATAGAAAATGGAAAGAACTCGTTAGGTAAATAATCCAAAAGTTCTTTAGTATTTTTTTT